AAACTTTATTCCTTTAATTTTTATGGGTGGATTGAGGATCAGATACAACAAAGGATGACCAGAAATGAGTCCGCTAAGAGAACTTTCTAAGCACATTTCACATTTTCCATTCAGTCACTGCATGAAATACAGAAACCGTCCTGGAGCATGCTTCTTCTTCCCAGGATTCTCCCTTTGATGTGAACACCTTAACCACCAGGCAACAGGTAACATCTGCGTGACACTCTCTCTGGACCATTCTCTGCTGCACAATCAAACAGCTTCAAAAGGAAGGGCAAACACTGTCTCCACCCCAAACCAGACAATATGTCAGGATGGTCTCTAAGGAGGTGGGAGAAGAACCTGGATCTTCCAATTAACGCTAGTTTATTGATTAATGAGTCAGGAGAGCATTGCAAGCTTTTCTGGCTTCGCTTTTAGAAAAAGTAATGACTGCTCCCAAGATCGTTGTGCATCACATTCACCCTTGTAGATTTATCAAGTGCTCGGTGAGAAGTCGGATTAGATGAAGACACTAAAGGGACCAAAGCGGAATAATTCCTAACCTCTGGATTTTGAGTGGTCTTCAGCATGAACGTACTGTTCGGTCACACCGAGGCTGGGACAGCTCCGGGCATGTACGAAAGTGCAAATCTAGGCACCTAACATACTTCAAAATAATAATTAAAAAAAAAACCCACCTCCCAGGCTGGGTGAAAGCTCATCAAGAATTTTTAGAATATTGATTTTGGGCTTGGTGACCTAAATTCTGCCCATTTCTACATCCACATCCTTCTACTGGATCTCAGCCCGCACAGCAGTCCGCGACGTAAAGGATTATATCTAGGTTGCCTAAACCCTCCAGCTAAGATCTGAACCGTGTGGACCTCTCAGAAGCAGAGCAGAGCGTACTGACACCGTGCAGTCATCGATACCGGCATAGTTAAGTTCAGATGAATCACTACTAATTTTCAACAGTCTCCAGGGAAGATTCTCAGGCAATGCAATCTGTATTACCCAGGATATTTTTTTCTTTCTTTCCATAATTTTCCACAATTTTCTAACTAACTTTTCTGTCCTCTTTCCAATCTTTCCCCCAAAAAAAAAAAAAAGACAAGACAAGACATACAGGGAGAGCTTTGCCAGTTTCAGGAAATGGTTCGTTAAGTGAGGTCTAATCTCCATCCCCTTCATGTTTTTCTTCAGCCAAAAAAAAAAAAAAAAAAAAAAAGATCTGGACTTAATTTTTTTTTTTTAAAACTTTATGCGGGCTTCTATGCGGAGTCTATCACGCACAAGGCCTGAGAAAGGTTGCTGGAGGCTCCTGACAAATAATAACCACTCTAAGTGTGTACAAACTAAGTCTTCACTGCCTGTTGTTGATCTAAGATGGTAAGACTTGATCATCTTTGCACTCAATTTTTAAAAACCTGTTTCAGGATCTATAAACCTTTTAATATTTAACTAAAGGATGGTTCATTCGAAAAAATAAAAACTCCCTAAAATTAACTAATATTTACAGTTAACTAAAAATCTGAAAGTAACTGCTAAATACATTTCATAGCGTGTTCTCCATTTAAATAAAAGCAGAATTATTTTTTTAAACAAAATATTTTATTTTTGGCACGGAGGCTTCACCGATGAACGTCAGGTTTGCAGGAATGCACAGGCAGGAGGCCGGCAAAAGGCAGGGCAGGCAGTTCACCCCCTTTGCCACAAGATGGCACGAAAGATATAAATGACGAAGGACGAAAATAAAATGAACGGCGTGCGATGAGGAGCATCAAAAAGCAAATCTGCGGAGACTGTACGCGCGACTCTCGGCAGGACGTGGGCAATGCGCGGACGCACGTGAATACAACATCATTCTGCAGAACGGTCCATCTAAAGTTTATTATTCGCGACGCAGGCTTAGCCAAATCGTGTCAGCCTGTTTAGTGCTCCAGATTTAAATTACGTGTGACCACACGTAAGGGTGCGTCGAGCCAGAGGGTGGCTGGAAACAAGCCGGCGTGGGGCCAGAAAGAAGAGCAGCGAAGAGAGGGCGGGTGGCACTTCTGGTGAGAACAAGACAAGTCAGGACAACGCGGGCAGAAGGAGGTGGGCGGCCAGCGGGGAGAAGGGCCGAGCAGCGGGCACCCACCCGGGCTGGATCGCTCCCCGTTAGAGACGCGGGCAGGGGAAGGAGGCGGGCGAGTGGGTGAGAGACAGGCAGGAGAGCAAGCGCAAGCGGGCAAAAGGCAGGTTTAAAGGGAGATTTTTGTGTAAATACGTATGTATTACACAAGAGACCAAGGTATGGATTGCTCCATTTGTGTGCTGATTTCTGGGCTGTTCTGGTGAGCTCAAAGCTCTTTTCTGAACTCATCAGGTCTAAAAGTGTCTGCTAGAGATGAGCTTCTTACCCCACCCGAACCTGAGACCTTAAGTTAACGTACCAAATACCGCCAGATTCGTAACAGAATCTTGTGATTAGGGAGTTTATAGCTGTGCCCATGATAATCAACAGGATGCAACGCGGGAAATGCCGTTTCCAATCCCTTCTCCTTACCCAAAGGACACGGAGGTGAAGGGCTGCAGGAAGGAGACTCATGTTTTAGGGATAATAGGGATGAATTAAAAAAAAAAAACATACCACAGGGAAGTTTCCTGATTGGGGCACTAGGAGAAGAAGGGTCATTATTTCAAACAGGAGCGGATCTCAGCCTAGATGCTGTGGGTGCATATACGTACACAGCGCAGAGTGAATATGAAATAGATTTACAATTTTTTTTTCACCACGCTTTAACAGGAATTTAGAATTAGTCTTCAAAACTGGGTCAACCTTCATGTAAATCAGCACATCTGATCACTCAGGATTTTTTTTAATTAACCCACAACAACTGCATAGCAATGTATGGAAATTAGAGAGCTTCAAAGATTGTGAGTTTTGCATTGCGTGGGTATCCAAATGTCCCACTAATTTCAGTGGACTCAGTTCTGTGTGTTCGGAAAAAAATCCAAAAAGGCTCGACCGTGCCTCAAGAATTTCTCCAAATTGCAGCTGTCTCACCGTTGCAGTGAAAATTAGATTTACTGGCGGTGTTCGCAACTTGTCCAGCGTGCCTCAAGAAGCAGGGCTACCCTCCACCGCATTTTCCTCCAGACAGCAATGCCGGAACAGGACAGAGCTGTCTGCTGCTCAGCGTGACGCACGGTCAGGACTCGCAACTGTCTGCAAATTGGCAAAACCTAAAGTCCTGGAAGATGACCCAGAAGCTCACCAACGGTGTGATCTTCCTAACAGCCCACTCGCACGAAATGCCTGGCGCGCATCCCAACAGCAGCCGTGGTATTCTCAAGTCGTGTGTCCAGACAATGGATCAGCAAAAGGCGGGGATCCTAGTGAGAAGGGAGGCAAGCGAGGGCGGCAAGGTCTGCAGATGATGTACAGGGGAGGTTTTACAGCAGCTTAGCAAAGTGTTTTATCCTTCTCCAACAAGCCTGGAATGGGCAAATGCGATCAGTATGCGGAACACATCACACAAATCGGAAAATAAATGGGCACACACCGTACCCCAATTATGTAGGAAGGTCCCCCATGCTTATCTAGGCAGATACAAAAAAAATCCAGATTAATATCTGCTGGGCTAGCAAGATTTGGGCCTTCAGCTTCCCGGAAAAGGCAACTGCTGTGCCCTCCATCACCTCTGCAGGTTTGCCTTGGGAGAGGTGGACGGTGAGAACGAGCCCAGAACTGGAAGGGCAGGAGCTGTGGCCTGAGCTCCGTGGACGGAAGCTGCATCCCGAAGGGCAGGAGCTGTGGCCTGAGCTCCGTAGACAGAAGCCGCATTCTGTTTGGCTGCCGGCTTCCACACGTCCTGCGGCGACTGCGGACCGCGGAGTTGTGGGTTTCCCTAGCTCGTGGAGGACGCGATTATCTTCCAAGTTGCAGAAAAGAGGGAAAACGTGCAAATAAACGTATGCGCGAGACCATCTAAAGACGCGAGAGCGACAGGAAAAGCATTAGCGGGGGAGGAATAGAACACCTCTGCTTCTCCGGCAAGTTATCTTTTTACGGTTGAACTCGATGATCTTAAAGGCCTTTTCCAACCTAAACGATTGTACGATTTCCGTTGCTCGAAGAAGCGCGGAAGGCTTGCCACAAGATGGTGCAAAAACATAGAAAGTCCTCCATCACCCGCAGGACGCAGCCGAACATCTCCGGTCGTGAAAAACCACGAGAACCTCCACCAGGTGTCGGGTCACGGGAAAGTATGAATGTTTTTTTTTTATATACTGAAGAAAACCAGTAAATACACTTCGAAACGTTCAGCCGGAACTTTTGGCGGCGCGCCTCTGCGGGGAAGGTTACCCACCGCCACCTCCCCACCACCCCTGGGGAACCTCGAGTCGCTGGGGGAGGCGGCGGAACTAGGGACGCAGCCTTCAAGAACCGAACCGAGAGCGTTTGCCCTGAAAGTGGCACCACGGGGGGCGGGTTAAAAAAAAACAAAAAAAAACAAAAAAAAAACCAAAAATAGCAGCGGAAAACACACACAC